AGGGGCCGTTGCCCGAGCCCAGGTCGATGATGTAGGGCCGCACCCGCCGCCCCACCGAGCCGTCCGCGCGCGTGTACTCCACCAGCCTGGGGACAGAGCGGGTCAGCCCAGGTCAGCCCGGAACAACAGGGACACTGGGGCTGCCCCAGATGCAGGCGGGTTCCCCAGGAGCCCCGCCCAGCCCATCTGCACCCGCAGGGATGGAACGTGGTGCTGGGAGCAATGGGAACCTGCCCGGGGGGTCATGGCTGCAGCACTCGCTCCAGCGGCTGCCCAGGCAGTGCAGGGACTCCCGCAGCACAGGTGGCTGCTCCCTGAGCAGCCTCTGCAGCAGCCCCCGTGTCCAGAGGCACCAGCAGCCTTTGTTGTGGAAGGCAAAGGAGCACCACCTCCCTCTGAGACACTTCTACTGCCAAGGACACCTGGGTTTTCTCTGCTCAGACACACACTCTGTGTGTGCCCCTGCTGTGTGACTCGCCCACTGAGAAGCTGCTTGTGCTCAAATGAGAGGAATTACAGGACACCCAGCAGCCAAGCCCAAGTGTCACCTCTCTAAGGTACAACCAGCCCCCCCTCCAGCCGCCAGTTCCCCTCCCGAGCAGGCGCTGCCGGGCAGCAGGGGGCACTCACCGGTACTGGAACACGGCGTGCTGCTTGGAGCAGGAGGGGTGGTCGATGGGGATGTCGGCGATGCGGCGGTGCCGGCCCAGCAGGTAGGCGCTCTGCCGGTGGATGTACATGACGGGCAGGAACTCGTCGTTCTTAAACGGGTAGAGGCGCCAGCGCGTCTTGGGCACCCGCGCCTCGGGGGGCTCACTGTACTTGATGACCACCCCCCGGAAGGTGTTGGTGTCCTCCAGCAGCGCCCCCGACAGCTCAAAGCTCGGCTTCTCCTTGCTGGCGGCAGCTTTGTCTCTAGGTTTGCTGTCAGGGGGCCCGAGCTCCGCGTGCTGCTCCGCCCCGCTGCCCTCGGCGCTCTGCCGGTGCTCCCGCCTCCTCTCGTTGTAAAACTCCCTCTCTGCCTGCTGCTCCCGCAGGTTCTGAGCGTCCCTGTCTCGCTCCTGGCCTCGAGCTCCAGCCCTCTCGTTCGGATTCTTCCTCCTGTCCGAGTGGTCTCTGTGTCTGTCTCTGTCACCACTTCTCTCCCTCCTGTGCTCCTGCTCTGACGAGTGTCTCTGCTTTCTCTCCTCGTTCCCCCTGCGACAATGATCCTCCCGTTCCTGGAACAAAGAGCCTCTTACAGGGACCTCAGAGTGAGGTGGGAAGAGCAGCAAACCCACCTCAGCCTCTACGAAAAACCCGCGCGTGGATCTGCTGTGTCCAAACCACGCACAGAGTGAGAGGAACGGACTTTGCCAACAGCCTCTTTGGGCTCCGGTATGTGCTGAATAAAGCAAGATCCAGAAACGCTGCCGCGTGCCAGCGGCCCCGGGGGGCTCCCGGGGGCAGCCCGGGGGGGCAGCACAAGCTGCTCAACCCTCGAGACCCCCTTTCCCACCGCGGTGCCCTACACGGCCCAGGACACGGTCACTGCCACCGAGAAGCCATTTCCGTGCCTCGCCCGGCCGAGTCTCGCAGGAACGGC